CTGAAGATTGTCATCAGTGATGTTACTATGCAAAGATGTTTAATTTCTGGATTAACTATTTAATATATAGGATTTTAATTCTTCTTCTTCATCTTCTTCTGCTATCTATTTCATGTTGTTTGTGGAAAAGCCATACCCGTTGCCGTCGTTCTTCAATCAACATCAAAGGCTTTAATGAATGATTTTGCACGAAGAGTTTCACGTAATGTCTCAAGGACAACGAAAGCATTTCTTGACTGCTCCATATGCTGTGCTGTGTGTGAGAGAGGCAGGAAGATCATCACCATCTGCACAAACAGAGCGTCTCCGGCTTGTAATGTCCGTCGTGTTCACAGTTTTGCAACGCTTTTGCTGTAATGCACCGGCTGCTGCATTGCAGAGGAAAATATTCCTCTCTAAAGGCAGATCTGCCGTTATCTTGTTTTCCTGAGGTTGCATGCTGACCTCTTGGCCGACGTTTGCCATGTTACGGTTCCCAGTATTTGATTTTTACCTAACCAGATTGTTCAACGATGTCAACCTCCTTATTCCTCACATCCACTGACGTCACCTGTGCCGGTAAAGGAACAGAGTCGTTCCTTACGTAGTCTTGTTATTTAACGTTTATTATGCGTTAAGTCAATGCTGTTGTGCGCAGTTTAGTCGTAGCTCTAATTATTCTTTTGTTGGAAAAAATGTCTCCATGCCGGACCTGTCAGAGGCTGACCACAGGCAGAGTTGGTGGAGAGGATTGCCCCTTTCTTAGCCACAGTATGATTGAGGTTACAAAAGTGCACTGGCTGCGAGGGCGATCCTCATATTTAATTCTGATTGGATGTTTCAATCGCTGGCAACCACTGAGCTGGGACACTTCAAATGGTTGACTTTCTCTGTGGTTTCAGCTCTCTGTTTCACCAGTAGATCAGTAATTTCTGATCGGTTCTCATAACTTTGGACTTCTGGGCGTTAAGAGGGAGCCAAACGCTCGCAGTGGACAGTGCGCGTTGCCCGTTCCGCTCTTCAGGACAATATCATCTGCTTTTTCCAGGTCAGTAAGATGTTTAACTGCGTATCTTGAACCGTGCCTTTCCTCTAGAATGACACCTTCCTCTTTACCACAGTGTCAGGACTGTTCCAGAGAAGAAAGTCGAGAACAATGTTGAATAACAAAGGCGAAAGCACATCTTCCTGGCGAACTCAGCAGTTAGTAGGGTACCATTTAGATAGTTTCCTTCCAGTCTGACAGTAGACGTAGTTCCTACAACCAGTTATTCCAAAGCGGAAACGACGCGTTCAGATATCCAAAGTATTTTATGATTTACCAAATGGATGGACGATGTATTGAATCAAATGCAGTCGATTAAACTGACAAACAAAGCAATTGAAAGCATGTACTGGCACGCGATCATGTATTCTTCTCTTTCCCCAGCACTCTGTTCGAAGCTGGCAGAAGGCTCGGTTAGGCTTTGAAAACCTGAACATCACTTGTTTAAATCTGTTCAATTTGTGGATTACATCTGTACTGATGAGAGACTCAAGTGACCAGGGGGTCAAACCATACCTCACTCATTAAACAATATGGCCATGGCCTTTATAAGCTCTGACATCAGAAGAAATATGATCCAGTTCATTCTTATGCTCGCCATAGCTATTTAACCTCGTCCAATTTGGTTAATGCAATAAATCCACCACAGCGAAAAATTGATATAGCAATGGGTAAGAGACATTGCAGGAAGAATCCACTTTCATCAGACTAAGGAGGTATGAGAGAGTAAATGACAGAGTAAAAAATCTCTAAATCGAATCAGGAAGTGCTGAAAAAAATTTGAGGTAGATGAATAAAAATCGCAGAAGACAAAATTTTGTGAAAATTCTTGGGATGACTTTATTCAGGAGTGGCTTGTGAAAGGCACTTTGGAGTGATCAAATTCATGCCATAGTTTACTTTAAGAAACCCCTATCTCTCACTATTAAAATAATTTCCTTCGATTCGACCTTTCTCACGGCAGTCCACATACATGTGAGGTTATGAAAGTGTAGTTTTACTTCAGTTGGTCATAAAAATGTGGCGAGAAAGAAAGCATGCCTGATGGACACATTCTTCTTTAATATAAAGACAGAAATTGTATTAGTTTTGATAATTTGTTTTCCAATACTAGTAGCCGTTCAATTATGTCTGTTTTATCTTTTGGGTTCAGCTTTTGCACCTCATATAATCACTGTTAGGCGACTCTTCGTTGTTTATCTATGAAGAAAGTATTCTTGCTTACCGTTCATCAGTCGTCGAGAAATACAATTTGGCTGAGTCATCAAATTATCTTTAATATGTCATATCTGGACCATGATTCAATTCAGGCAAATATTCTTCCCTTTAGTTAATCTTGTGGAACAGTCTGGTCAGAATGAGTTGCTGTTGTCTCAGGCTAGGTTGAGAATCAGGTATGATGGCAGACTCCGATTCAATTGAAACGACCTCTGCGTAACGACCTAAGCCAAATACTGCTGTATGGTAAAAGTGCGATGCTCATTCCTCAAAAATGAGCTACATGCCATGGTCGTTGAAGTGCTCAAATTCAGGTACAGAGACGTAGCATCAGTGAGCGAAGTAAATGATGCATCGTGCAGTTTACTGCAAACACCTGATGCGAATCTTGAAGTGATTAGCCAATGATGACATGCCTGCAATTAGTGAGGATGCTAATGCTTTCGATATTGTTTTTGACTCACGGCGTTGTCATCTCGAAGGATTCCCCTCATGGCAGTGGGTTGAAATACGTCGCCATGAAGATTGCACTACATGCTGTTTAAGCATCGCTAAATAACGAATGATTTGGCAGTGACTTGTTCCATCCATAGAAACTGGTGGTGGTGTTTTACAACTATTTCATGTGAGCGCA